TGTAAGAGTAAAGTTTCATAAACAGATACGTATTGTAGCTCAATATGTTGTTTTGAACATAGTAAACCCAAACTGAAACTCTCTCTCCCTCTCTCTCTCTCCCTCCCTTTCTCCTTTCCTCCCTTTCTCTCTTTCTCTTTTTCTCTCTCTTTCTCTCTCTCACACACATACACACACATATACATGATTCAATGCAATTATCAGACTTCAAATGGGATTTTAAAAAATTTAGTATGGCTGAATATGGAGGGGAAATAATGCACTTGATTAAAGAATTATATTCTGGCAAAGTGGCTGAGAATTTTGCAAGTCTACATATGAGCATAAGGAAATATCCAGGAGTGTTTAAACAGAAGAGAACAAAGAGCAGAATGAAATATAAAGTATTAATTAAAGGTGCCTAACATATGCACACCAAATTCATGTGCTAATACATGTGAAAAACCACATAAAATAATGCCAGTAGCATTTTATTTGCTTAATCTGAATTAAAGCCTCATTTATATGTGGATGCCCGAAAGAAAATGAGATGCCTAGAATACATACATGCAAAACAATATAGCAAGCTTACATAAAGATATGTTAGCTTAGTAAATAGTGTTGTTGATGGCTTGAAATTTGTCAAAAATATTTGAATATCTATCTTATGCCTGGAATACTTAATGGTGAAATATTTTAAAACTTATAGGAAAAAAATTATGGGGAAGCTAGTATGTATAAACATATATAAGCATATGTCAAATTATATAAGTAGGTTTTACATTAAAGGTAAATACCACAATTATTTTTAAATGGAAAAATAATTACTGTCATCCTTAAAATAACAATCCTTAAGTACCATTTGAATAAATGAACCAATCTTTTGTGCACAAATTATTGTTTGGATTTATTTTTTATTACCATACATTAATTGTACAAAGTAAATGGTGTCACTATGACATTTCTAATATCTATTGCTGGTAACTTTGTAAGTAATTTGAGTTTCTTGGCATCATTGATTATCAATATGAAATGGATAAAATATTCCTATCTTTTGATTAAATAATCCTATATATGATGATATTTTAAGGATGTATTTTTCTTGTTGCAAATAAAAACATGTGAAATATTTACTGTAAGTGGGAATAGTAACTTCATGTTAACTGTGGAATATTGTGTGGCTAATAACAATGAATGCTATGTAAAATAGTTTGCTTGTAGCCAGACACTGGTAGCATGTGCCAGTAATTTTAGCTTCTTGGGAGGCTGAAATAGAAGGATGGACCTGGGTGGGCACACATCCCTTCACTACCAACAGTTGGGCATAGTGGCGAATGCTAGAGCCTGAGATTATGAAGACTGCATTTCTAGGCCAATTTAGGCAGAAGAATCCATAAAATTCCATCTCAGTGGAAGAAGCTGGACATAGTGGCATAAGCCTGCCACTTCATATTCAACAAGTGTGAAATGGCAGATCATAGTCTAGGCATGCCAGTTGAAAAGTGAGACCCTTATCTCAAAAGGAACCGGTTCAAAGAGAGCTGAACTGAAGGCATTGTTTAGCAGTAGAGTGCTGCCTAAGCAAGCACAAGACCTGGAGTTCAAGATCCAGTCTGCTTTAAAAAATGGAATGTGATTATGAAATAGTAAGTGAAAATATCACAATGCATAATTATATGTGCATATAATGAAGACAGCTATGTGAAAATATGCCTTTATTTGGAACAAATGCTAGATTAAAATTAAAATATAAATAATTATATTTGGGTCATAGGATTAATATAAATAATTATATTTGGGTCATAGGATTAAAATATCTTTAATGCTCTTTCATGTTTGTAAGGAAAAATATAAATCACTAAGTAGAGAAGGTTATTCAAATTGAATATTGCATTATTCAAGTTGTAATGCTATTATTCTTGATTTCATTGTTCTCCTTGGGCAGTTTTTCTAGGGTGGTACAGAGGTGTGTTGATGGTAACATGATGAATGAGGTAGTATGAAGCCTGTGATATTCAGGGTTTATTCTCTCTCATTATATGCATGCTAATACCTCCTTCCCCTTCCCTTCCTGTCTTGTACTAAGAAGCAATTGCATTGGAGTTGATGCCCATGAAACTACTGCCCACTGTTGGAAGTTTTGACCCTGTGTGTCAAAGAGGCTGTAGGATTTGAAGAGGGAAATAGTACATTGTCAGGAAACCTGCTTCTAGGTATACACTCTGGGTGAAAAACTGCTTTAATTTTCATCATCAAGGAAATGAGACTGAAGATCTCTACGTCAGTACAGGTCTATAGAGACATGATGACCTACAAGCCTGCTGTTTGTCTCTCAGAAGGGTTCTCCCAAACTCAACTTCCTGTGGTCAGTGTAGCCACGGACCAGTCACCTAAACTGCTCCCAGGGTGTGTCCTGTTAATCTAGAGAGTGTGGTTCCTGTGTACTAACCAGGGGCAAAAAATTCAGCTAGAGGAAGCCACGAAAGCTCTCAGCATTGGAGCTGTATCTGATTTATTGTGTGTGAATAGATTAAATAGACCAATCAGAGTAGACCAGCATAATCAAATATTAGCTAATGATAGATTGCCCCATTGTTTAAGATCCTATAACTGATTGAAATTTGAAGTTAGGTGTGCTTAGATCTTCTGATGAGGTGAAAAATGCCACTGATTCAGACTCTTACTCCACACTGGTGTGGTAAGGCTAGCAACAAAATCACATTAAAGGTCTGGGGCTGCAGCTTAGTAATATGGTGCTTGTCTAGCATGCACAAGAGCAGTCATTCAGCATGACTGACTGAATGAATGGATGAATAGATGAATGTTAAAGTAAAGTAGTTTAGACCCAGCCTCTTTTATCACGTTGTAAGTTTTTTTTTTAATGTATCATACTATGGTGTAGGATAGATATTATGGGAATCTAGCATAAATGTCATTGCTCATTTTTGTAGTTTGTTTTATGTGCTGGTAACTGGGCCTGAACTCAGGGCCTCATTCTCTGCTCTCTCTTGGCTTTGTTAATCAAGATTGACTCTCTAAGTTGAGCCACATCTCAAATATGAAATCATTGCTCACTTTCAAGGAAATGAATGTTTCTAAAGGAATTTTTGTCTCGTAGTGTGTGTACCTGTAGCTTACTTGCTATATAGGCAATGTATTGCTACCTTTTGTGCTAATCAGTGGTAGCCATTTAAATGAGTCAACTGTATGGGTGACTAATGTATCTAGTTATTATTGCTTTTGAACTTTGATATGAAGTGGTTGTGCCACTATTTTTAGGTACTGTATAAGCACTGAAAAATTCCTAAGTCATTTGAAATCATCAACCACTTAGACAACCATAGTTATGTAGAAATGAGATCTCATTTGCTGATTTGTAGGTAAAAAGCCTTTTGATAATATTGGCCTGGTAACTGGCTACACTCAGAAACTAGGAACTTCCTAGGAGGCAAGAATTATTTAATATTAGAATAGTACTGTACTTAAGAAATGAATAAGAGCTGAGAAAGGAATGGGAGATATAGTCGCTTTCACATTGTACATTGAAAACTGAACAAAAGAGGAATTTAAAAATAAATCTTCAAGGTCATTCTGATGTTTCCTAGTCACTTTTGGTAAATGGCTAGCAAGAAGAAAAGGTGGTAATTGGTGTACTAGCTTCTGTACAAATATATCCTGACAAATATTCAGAAGTAATACTATGCAGGTAGTTAGTGGCATTATTTGAGAGAACCATCGAAACTTCCCCATAAAATTCCATGGAAAAAAAGTGAATATTTTTTCACGGCCCGAGGTATTTAAATGTGAAATATGTGTACTTTGTGTCATGTCAGAGTTCGCTGAATAGTAATCATATTTATTGATTCGGTTAAAATACCCAAGGTATGGACTAGGGGTGTGGCTTAGTAGCAGAGACCCTGGTTTGATCTCCAGTGCCACACGCAAAAAATAAGTAAAACAATAACCAAAACAAATGACCTTTGTCTTGTCATACAAATGGCAAGATGTCTCGAATGGTAGTTAAAACTGTTTACTTCTCCTAATGAAGGAGTCTTTGGAGACCATGCCCAAATGAGCTTCCTAGATTACTGCTCCTTCAATAGCGGTAAGACTAGAAGGTTTTCTAGGAAATGAAAACATTTTACTGAGTTCTACTTAGTACTGTGGTTATTGTTTTTTTTAATCTTTCCATAATTAGCAACTTTTGTTGTTGTTTAGCGAGTACCTTCTGAAATCAGAAGTGGATAGAAAAATCTACTTCAGCCTTTATTTTTTCATACTTCATTAGTGTGTGCAGTGACATTCAGGGGATGGCAAGTGTGGCTCTTTCTAAACTGTATCGTACAAACCATGAACTTAATATAGCTTTGGCCTATATTTTTGAACTTTTATTTGTATATGGTTGTATTGGATATTTTGGGACTTGGAAAATATTAGTCTTTTTAATGTAATAAATCCACCTCAGGAAGGACTGATTTGGGATTAGATGAAAATGTGTAATTTTTTTCCTATTTCTGATAAACTCCCCCTCCACATCAAGGTTCATTTTAGGCTCAACACAATTGAAATATTTCTTGCTTTCTCTTGATCCTTCAGTTAGAGCTGAGATTAAAATGGATCTTAGAAAGGATCATCTCCTGGCAAAATAGACAAAATAAACTTGTATTTATAAGCCAAAATTAAGTTATTTATGGGTCTTTTACTAGAGACTTACTCTGAGAAACAAGGTATCACTCACGTAATGATTTGGAAATTCATGCTAGGGAAGCCCATCCAAAACTATGTGACCATTATTATGTTTTAGTGATCTCTGTAAGGGTCAGTTTCTCTCCTTAATAGAGACTGTATGTAGCTAGGGCTACTCTCATTTTGCTCATTTTGTTTTTATATAGTTTTGAGTATTGCACTAACTAGGAAAACATATAATAGTTAATTCAATTTAAATTTTGTTTTATTATCATACAGCTTATATAAAGCACCCCTGGTTTAAATGCTATTTTTGTTTGTATTTTCCTTTTTAGGTGGAGTCTTTGACTTTTTTTAAAAGACGATGGTAATCAGATCTACTTGAAAAATTCACAGCATTGGTTTAGTTGGAGTATTCTTTTTCCAGTTGTTTAACATTTGGCCATTAGGTAAGTTGAACCAAATGCTTTCTATGTGGCTTGATTTCATAGTTACAGGAAAGATTTCTTAAGCACAATATTTAGTAAGCTTTATGTGAAAATCTGTAGGATAATGGTTTAAGCTCCTCAGAGTCTGTGATTGATGTCTGAATTGTTACCTCAAGTGAAAGCATTTGTAAGTCTATACATGCAATTGTTTCTATTTTGGTTGTATTTTCGGAGATACCCGGTTTTAGCTGAACATTGGAAAATGTCACCTTATGGTTTGAAATTCATCCTTTTATTACAATTGGATTTGGTTTTGTTCTATTTCACATTATTTTAGTTTTGATGTTGGAGATTAATTCAGGCCCTTGTACAGGCTCTCCCCCGGAGCTAAACCTCTAGCCCCTTTTAGTACTACTTTACTTTTGTTTTTCATAATCTTGAGGTTGTATGAGAATATCAAATTTTTTCCTGTTTTTTTTATGCATACTTGCATCTTGTCAGAATCACAGCTAAAGCATGATTTAAAAAAAAGCAAATTAGCATCTTATTTTTTGTGTTACAGAAATTTTGGGTTTTGTAATAAGGACTGAACTTTAAGGCCAAAACTTGCCTGATTCCACTTCCACATTTCCCTGGGTTGCTGTGGAAGCTTTGGAGGTAAAGCACACAGAACCAGGAGGAGTTTAGGCTGTTAGCAGATTATTGGTACTGCCAAGACCGAATTTAGTGGGAACAGGACTTTGGCTACTGTTAAAATGTCAGTATAGTAAAGCCCGCTCTGTCAAACAGATTTTTGGCATCAAAAATTTAAATGATACTGATTTTAGGACTTGGTAATTTTTTTTTTAATGCAGGCAGATTCATGCTTAAATTAACCCTTTCTACAAATAACAGAAAATTTGGAACAAAATTTGTTTTTCTCATTTAAGTCACAAGATTTGAGTTTCTCAGATTCTTTTTTTCCCCATGATTCTAAAAATGTGCAGCTTGTTACTTTACTTTCTCTCCAAATACACTGGAACCATTTTAAAACCTGGGAAGTGGTCATGAATAAGGGAGTAAAATAATCAACTTCGAAGTTACACTAATCAATAGTGTCTGCAGAACTGTGAGCATCCTGAGACATGAATATTGAAGATAGTTTTTCAGTGACAATTTTGTATAATGTTCATAGAAGGTGTTTGTTTGGTGACAATGTATGTGTAATGTATGCCATTCCAAGTCTCTTTAGCTTTGTCTAAAATAATCTGTCTTGAGGTGGGGAAACACCTTGGAACTTGGTTTGTTTGTCGAGTTTTTAAGTATCCAGTGAGAGTAGAAATCAGGTGTGTAAAATTCCAGAGGGTCTTTTCATCCAGTCTGTCAAATTCATGATTCAGTCCTTACTTGTGACCAGAAATGTTTTGTTGTTATGCCTCTGTAGTGCCATTTTGATTATATGTATGTGTGTGTGTGTATAATTAAAGGGTTATAAGGCAATTAGATGAAAAGCCCATCAGAATAGAGGTGTTTAAAAAATTTCAAAGGCAAAACCTTAATTTCTTCATTAGGTATATTTAGGCTAGCATATGATAACCAATTGAAATGTCTTTGTTCAGTACATAGTTTTCTGTCTGCTGTCAAGCCTGGCTTTTACAGTTATTCCAAAAATATGGTACAAAGCTAAATTTCAGTTGATTGTACCTAATCTCCCACCCTGTGTGTGGGAGACTGTCTCCTAAATGCCTTCTGAGCATGGCCATTGTCTGGTCATGGAGTGCAAGTAGCCTTCTTGCTTAGTTCACTGAGCTCTGCTCGCTACTGGCCCAGTCAGCCCACTGGGTCAATGTGCTTTGAAATAATGGTTGTTTTGAGTTAAATAAGGATACTACTTAATTCACAAGGTTTTGTGAGAATTAAAAACAAATATTAGGAACTCAGAAACTACCAGTAATTAGTAGCAGGAATGATTGAATTCTGAACACTGTTTAAATTGTAATACGAATTATATTTTGTCAGTCACATGAAAGATAGTTTTTAGACTTGACTGTGCCAACTTCATTTCTTGAGCTTTATACTGGCTACATTCTTATCCATTCATGGGTTTAGTAAATTATCCATTTGTTTGTCCCTGGGTCAGTTAGTGAGCATTCATTAAACCAGTAGCATGAAGGAAGGACATTTGGTCCCGTGAGCATTCTGTAGCTATCTGAAAGCCCTTATGGAATGTTGCTTTCTTATTTTATAATATTCCTTCTTATCTATCATTTTCCCTGTCTCCTTGCATCAGCCTGTGCTGTAGAATGGCAGAGGAGGGTGAATCTCTCCTCTTTCACTCACCATACAAAACTTACACAGTAGAATTGAATGATCATATACCTTGTTTCTAGGATAACGTGTATAAACTTTGGGTAATGAGTTACAATTTTCAAATGCCATCTATGTAAATTACCTTACTTGAGACAAGGAGTGTCTTAAGAGATATCATTCATACTTCATTATGTATATGAGGAAATAGAGGCTGGTGGTGGTAGTGGGTGTTACAATTGAATGATTTACAAAGTCACTGCCCTAATGAATCATAGAGCCAGAATTTTAACCCTGATTCTCCCAACATCAAAATAGCATGCTATAGTTACTCTGAGATCCCTGGTGTGCTGGAATGGCCAACATCCAAGTAGTGGAGCTTTGTAGATGTGGTCACCGTTATTCTGTTTTGTATGATTCCAAGAAGGAAATATAAGCCATATGAAATTTTGAGGAAGAGTCAGATCTGACAATATTAGGGAATCTAGAGCCAGTCCAAAGAAGTGTACCTAACACTATGGCATAAAGAATGTGAATTTTCCAGACGTCTGAAGATACTGTTGAGTTTACTCAATCTTTCACTCATCCACAAATCTCATTATCTCCAAGCAGCCTCCTTAGAGATTATAAAAAGCCCTCTTGAATTTAAGCTCTGATGGCAGCTAGATGTTTAACTACAAATACCTGAATTACATATTAGGCAAAACCTCCCTCTTAGAAATCTTTATTATATGTTGAGCTTGATATCACATTGACTTCTTTATCCATGAATTCCCAGAAGACAAATTAACTTTCTCAATTGCATTATCGGCCTCATCTATTATTTGCGCTATCAGTTAAAGCACTTACTAATGACATAGTCTGGTTGATTTTTTTTAGTTACTTTAGGGTAACTTGTCTTCATGTTTTACTTCATGTGCTCTAAGAATTCCCTTAGCACGTTCTTACTTCGCTCATGTCACTTCCAGTATGTGTTATTGGGTTTGCAGTTTTATAGTAATTTATGTGGGATTTTTATCTCATATGTTGCAATGTTAGTTGCTTAAGGACAAAAGGAAGTCTTTATTTTGTCAATGTCTCTTCAGACTAAAGAGATGGCATTAAAAAATAGCTACCCAACAGATATTTATTGTGACTTTTCTTTTAAAACTCATTTTGAAGCCTGTAAATTGATATCTGGATACAGATTTAATTGCATCAGTGGGATGAATCGGCAAATCTGATACTAAATATCCAGAACAGAGTCATAAGACAAATTTGTACATTTTTAGGGATCCTTATTTACTGCAAAAAGAAAAAAAATACTCATAGGGGAAGAATAGCTCCATTATCCTTGCTCACCAAATTAAACAGAAGAAAGGAAGAACCCCCCTGCATTCTCATGTATGTTTTCTTTCCTTTTTCTTGCTCATGACAACCAAAATAACAGTTATCTGCAAGGATTATATGCGATGTGGCCAGGGCAGGTGAAGGATGCTGGGAGTGCAGGTGTAAATGTAGTCTAAGAGAGGTGCCCAGCTGCCTTTGTTCAAAACCATACGGAATATTCATTCCATGTAGCCTGAGTGGGAAGTCCTGGATCCTTTTTGAGCAGAAGAATGATTTCATCAGAGGTGCACTGTGGAAACGTGTTGGTAGGTAGTCTGGTAGGTAGTATTAAAGAGTGAGAGGTGGAGGTAAAGGTAGAGTGAGTGGTCACTGCAGGCATGGAAGCCATTGAGGGTGCACTTGCATGAATTCACTCAAGAGCACTCACCTCAGCTTGCATCTTTTACATCTCCTCTTACACTTTTCATTACAGATCAAGGAACCACCTAGAACACTTGAATGAGTAGTTTTACCCGAAGTTTAGGGAATTATTTCTGACTTTACTTCCTCCATCTTCCCTTAGTCTATCATGCCTCATAGATTTTGCATTCTCATGCCCTTGTGGTTGTGTTCAGCTTAGCTTGTTTTCTGTAAGTTTCTCTTGATACTTCCATAGATCACTGCCACTGGTAATTGTCCCCACATCCCATATTCCTTAGGGTACTGTGTCCAGTCCTGCCCTGGGTTGCAAGTATGCCAGTTGGATCTGGCATACATTGTAATCTCTTGCCTTTGTATAGTGGGGGTTTGAGACAGGGGTTGGAGAGCTGCATTGAGGTTACAGCACAAAAAACTGATGGGAAATAGACAATAGAAAGGAAAGTATGAGGGAAGCCGTGAAGGACTGTCTGATTGCCTGATGTGTATGTATATGTGCATGTGCATGCATGTGTGTGTTTGTGTGTGTATGTATTTATGCATTCATGCATGTGCTCTGGAGTTGAAAAGAAGGAACAAACAAGTTATCAATAATAATTCTTTGTCTTGAGCTTAAGAATTTAAATATTGCTTTTTTTGTATTTGTGTGTGCTGGTACTGGGGCTTGAACTGGGCACTATCTCTGAGCATTTTTTGCTCAAGGCTAACACTCTACCACCTGAGCCACAGCTCCACTTCCAGCTTTTTGCTGGCTTCAAGCCAGATGTCATCCTCCTGAGTAGCTAGGATTACAAGCATGAGACACCAGCACCCGGCTATGAGTTTTAATAGAAAAAGGGAGATAAAGAGAGAAGCTGATTTGGGTATCATCAGTTTGGTTTTCTATTAGTTATATTTGAAATAAAGTAGACACAGAGCATATGTTGTATTCTTCTTTTCTTTCTCCATGAGAGTTCATAATTAGAAACCAGAATTCACTAGAAAACTTG